CAAATGGTGCAAACAATATGAGATGAAGGAGCACGACGCCAAGAGTGGAAATTTGGAAAAATAACTTTGGTATTAATAAAGAGCTTTTATAAGACTTGGATTCACAAGTATTCTTATGGAATGTGCTACAAGACACAACAAAGATTCTTTTGAGTAACTCTAAGAGTCCATAATTCTCTAGGATTTCTAGAATATTTCAGCAAATCTTAGGCTCCGTTTGAGGCAGCTTATCCGCTGCGGCGATATTTTGAGAACGCCGCTTCACCATTTGGAAACTGAGTTTGAACAACTTATCCAAAAATGCAGATGATTTTTTACACTAAATGTGGAATGTGGGTCGCACCCCGCAGTACACGTTTCCAACTAAGCGGCTTATCTAGATGAGCACGAGCTGTCTCAAACTCACCCTTAAACTTCATGAAGTAAAATTTAGGTGAAAATTTGTGGTTTTTTAAATTAATGTGCCACTCAAATCTAAATTACCCCCAACATAACATCACCCCTTAAGGGCATTTATGCCAGCCTATTAGACCTTCTAGTGTATTCAATCAAATTAATAGAAGAAATACCCTGATTTACGGTGGAAATATGAAGTATATTAATTGCCCCCCTCAGCGTATTCGAGGGAGTGCATCTAGCACAATGAATTCATGGACTTGAGAAAATTCTAGAGCCTCAAACAAGGTTCACACTTTTTTTCACCACAAACATACTTCAACATTTGACTAAAATGAAAGCCCATCATCATCATTGCTAGACACTGCTCGTTGATCAATGTCGGTGCCTCCCATACTCTTCCAACCTTATGTTGGTCGACTCCAAAAGTTTGTTTAGCCACCTAATGTTGCCCGACATTAGAAATTCGGCGCTGCCCAATGCATAAAAAAAAAAAAATGATATTTGATGATGTCAAATGCATTAGTACACTGCTTAGATCATTTGGCATCTAATGTTTCTCACTAACTTTCAAACAACAATCAACATCCAACACTAATTAAGCATTAACATCTGACACAAACCTTCTAATCGCCTTGTCTCTCCTTCTATAAGAAGAAGGATCTAGTTTGCTCGCTCATCCTCCATCATTCTTTATCAACATCTACCAACTACTAATATCTGTTGCAAGTATTCTCGCTACTTGATCCCTCTCACCTATAAGGAGAGCAACCAAGTCATATTAAAGTTTATAATCCTCAATCTTGATAGCTAGGCCCCCAGAACTAACTTTTCCAATATTAGGTGGCTTGGCTCAAACACTAACAAAGTTGGGCTAGCTCCAATCCAAAAAAGGTTAGGCCTCGATCCATCCTGTGTGATTTGACATGTACCCTCCCAATTGGCATAGATGACCAAAAGTAAAGCTCGTCCTAGATTAAACAAATTACAAAATGAAGCACATTGGTCATGACTTGAGATAACGCACCCTCTAAATCTATGTCATTTGCAACTTTTTAGATTTTAAAAAGCATATGAATATTTGATCTAAAATCTTACGGAATTGATTATGTCATCATCCAAATATGATTTTCAACAAAATTATAGTCGAAAGTTTTATTTAATGAAACAAACCCAATAATAAAGAACGCCTCCATCTAAGTCGGAATGAACCTAAATCATATAGCTGGATGTTTAATTGGAAATCTCTCAAATCCATTTCAGAGAGTAAATAACACAAGAATTGTGTGATTGATCAAAATGAGTTCCAGAATAAGATCCATCTGAATTGCATAGAGATGTTAAAAACAAAAAAGAAAAATCATATGATCTACTTGGTTCAAATCAAATTTATAGATTAAGCGTGAAAATACCCTAAGTATATAAATAGCCTCTCCGCCCAACAGCACCCAAAGTTGATTGTTAAACAAAGTTGATGCCTATCTCCGCCGCCGCCAAACTTAAACAATTAGCTAATGTGAAATTACGCTCCTTATTATTATTATTATTTACTTTTATTCTATTTAGTACTTGTTATATTTAGTCATAATATAAAAATGGTAATTCCTTAATTATTGGTATTTATGTTTATTCCATAATTATAGGAATTACTTTATTGTAGGAAGATTTCTTTCCTCTTTTTGTTTCTCTTGTACTCACCTATTTATAGGTGAATT